TACAAATTACAATTTTTGCCTAAATTTAGGGCCAATTTATAAACTTGCGTGGCTGTAAAACAAACTAGGTACAAAGTATTTATGTACAACTAGCATAAAGGATTTGTTTTTTTTTGTATTATTTCTATAAAGTATAAAATATAGGCTATTTATAATAATATTAATTCGCCGAGGTATTTGATTTCAATATATTATGCATTTATATATAAAAAAAAAAAAATAATGATATTGTTAGATAAAGAAGTACATAGGTAATAGGTATGTAGCTAATCAATCTTAAAAAAAAGGTCATGGGGGGATACGACATCCAAATCCCCCCCCCGTAATTACGCTATGCACCCCTATATTTAATATATATTTAGTAGAACTCATACAACATTTGACTTTGAATTTACATTCTTATAATTTTGACTTTAAGATGACTACATTAACTTAAGAATTATAAGAACAATATTTAAATTTATGTTGAAACAATTCATTTCATAGTAGGAATATAATTTTTTAAATAATAACTTCAGTAAATTAAATTATTTATTATTTATTTTAAAATTGGTTTTTAGTTTATTACCAAAAATAATTATTATACAGAGTATGATTAGATTACTCTACCCAGGAACACAGCATTTTTATTTTTTTTTTAAATCTGAGATAGCCGATTAATTTTAAAATTTTATAAGTTAAATTACTAATTTTATTAATTGTTCATGTATGCAAGATCTTAAACATAATTAGGAAGCATTAAGGAGGATAATTACTAATTATGCATTAGGATTGACAGCAAAAAATTGCATAAGCTAAAAAATGGTAAATTTACATATTTATCTAAGTGTATTGTATATTTTAAGTAAACCAAACTAATGTTACGTACAATGAATAAAAATAACTTACAAAAGTCAACTTATTATAAAGCTATCAAATTTTATGTGATCTTWTGGAAAAACCAAGCAATCTTGAATAAAAAAAAATTACAAATTAGATCATTAAAAAAATCATTAGGATTTCTGTAGAATACTAACAGAAAATATTGAAGTTTTAAATTATAGGGAACAATAATAAATTGGGGTGTACTAAAGTTCATATTAAATGGAACCTGTATCATTGTTGTTTTAAATGTTTATCTTAGGAATGTGACGTACGACGTTGTCTTGGTGAGTAGCTCCTTGAACGTGACCGTGAAGGTGGCGCACGGCGTTTTGGAGATCGAGATCGTGATCTAAAATACAATTCGAATAGTTATAAATCATAATAATAATACATACTATAATCATTTCTCACCGGAGAATATTAATTATACTTACTTATAACAGCTCCTATTAAAAATACTTATAAAAAAACATGTCATAGATAATTGTTTAAAAAAACAAAACAAAAAAAACTAAATACCTTTTAACTTACAACTCTCAATTTTCAATGAAAGAATAAATAATACCATATGTTGTTTAGATGGAGAGTGTGAGTGGAGACGTTAAAACAGCCAAGAAAGCATACGAGTGCTTGTCAAGAGTTGATCGTAGGGTAGAGGCGTTGGAAGAATATTGTAGAATAGTGTAGAATAGGCTGTTTCCACCCGCATGATGTTAAATAACACGTTACGGTATTTCAATTCGGTAGAATTGATGGAGCGAAGTACAAAAATTGTTGGTCAAGTCATATTGTCAGTGTGAGATTTTTTTTATAAGATGGGATGATAAATTTTTTTAGTATGGGCGAAAACCAATGATCCTTTTCCTGTAAATTATCCCAAAAATAAAAAAGATCCAATTAAAGCCCAATTAGAAAAAAACAAATTAAAAAAAATTAATATTTTCCTAAGAGAAGTGAACCTCATATTAAAAATTAACTTACTAGAACAAGGTAGGACAAGGAAATAAATGAAAATTATATTTGCAAAAAATCAATGAGATAAAATAAAGCAAATGCAATCAGCAAAATACTTTATTAATATCAGCAGGAATACAAAATGTATTGAATTACATTCTAGAAGAAAAAKTTAATAAATTCATTTAAGATTTTTATGTTTAAAAATTATCTGAAAAGTATACTGAGCCCAATGTTCAAACGAAACTTAAATTAAAAGTTATTGTATTAAGAATTAATTAATAAAATGTTACCTCTCATTATACCTATCATTGTAGCGTGGAGGACCTCTGTTGTATCCACCACCTCCTCCACCACCGCCACCTCTGCGATCACCTCCGCCACCACCACCACGACCGTCGCGACCACCACGAGGTCTATTGCTAGACATTTCAACACGCACACGAACTCCACAGATACGGCTAAAAAAATTAAACTTATTAATTATAGGTATTTGAAACAATTTTACATAATATATTATGTCAAC